ACCTCTCCCTACTGTTACCACCAGAGCTCTGGGGATGGTTTTACTTCCTTCCTTACATTTATTTTCAACAAATGTTGAAAAACAAAAAAACCAAAAAGTTGGATGCTTTAAAATGCCACTGGCTGAGAAAATCCGCTGTCTTGCCCCCTCCCCCAGTGAGCAATGAGTCACGGGCATACCTGCCTTGGGGAGGCACAGGGGGATGCAACCACAGCCTGGGGCCTGAACCCGGCCAACTGCCTTCCCCTGTCAGCTGTTCTTGCCCCAGAGATGTTCGATGGAGGGCAAAGAACCTGGGATAACCCCCGAGAGATAAAAGTCCGTTTGGTCCTCATCCGGGGGCCATTCTGCTTCTGACAGGATGCTCGGCAACGTCTGAAGACATTTCTGGTTGTCATGATTGGGGGCTGCTGCCGGCATTGTGTGGGCAGGGGCCAGGGTGCCTCTAAATCAATGCACAGGACACCCGCCAACACACAGCTGTCTGAACCAAAATGTGCCCAGAGCCTGCTCTGAAGAAAGCCAGACACATGTTTCAGCATCACTTCTCTCCCTCTCTTTTTCTCTCTATGTATCCTTAAGCAGCAGCTTGGTGTCAGCTAATGCTTGGCATCTGAGTGTTGGTAGGAGGGCAGAAAGGTCACAGTCAGGTCATGATCACGTGTCTGTAAGGACAGCACGACTGGGCAGCTGCTGCAGAGAATTCTGAACGTGGGCCCCAAACAAAGAGGCATGAAGAGTACGGAGAGAACACTGGGGAAGCCAGGAAAGGGGTAGTGACAGTCCACGAGGGAGCTCACAGCCCCGCTCTTGGCTGTTAACCAGGAACATGGACTGAATTCAGTGTTTATCTACCTGGACTCCCAGCAAAACAGGAAAAATGTACTCATAAAGGAAACTTTTTTAGGAAAAAATAAAACACTGAAGTTGACAACTAAGTATTATGAGGGGAAAATAATTCCCAATCCACTAAATAAGTTTAAAAAAATTTTGAAGAGGAATAAGAAATCTAAGTGATACAAAACTTAATAAAGAGCAAAATATTAAACAGGGACTACTTAAAAGTCCTGGAAAAATCTTGGGAAGAATCTGATTCCCCTAAAATTTTCAGAGAAATGTGTCTGCTTATTTTATTTAGAAATTTCAGCTATCCCAAAATACACGAATACATTCCTGTAAAAGTCTGGAAACAGTACCCATGAGTCCTCTGGGGGCGCCTATAGGCCCCTCCCCAGAGGAAGCCACTATGACTGTGAGTTTTTCTAGTCCTTCTTTTATGAACATACACACATGTAGCTAAATATAATTATATGCACTCAGAGAAGATTCCGTGCTGCCCTACGTGTGCTTATTCCTATCAAACACACAGTAAGCATTTACCTGCAGCTGGTTTATTTGGTTGCAGCTCAGCTTCCCGAAGTTTGCATATACCCCCATTTACCAGACAAGTCCCATGAATGACACTGCTTTGCTGTCATAACGAAGGGACCACAGGCCCCCTGTGTCAGTGCGTCTCCATCCAGTGGAGGAACCGAGGGGAGAAGTGCCAGGTCAGGGGAGAAAGAGCACTTGAGATTTTGACAATTTAAGAGGGAGCCAAACTGCCCTCTGAGACGGCTGAAAATTTACACTGCAACCCTGACGCGGGGAGTCCTCACACCCTTGCCAGCACGTGCAGACCGCCACAGACCGTGTGTGCGCGTGCTGGGGGGGAGGGGGGGATGGTGGAAACTTAGTTTGGAAGTGGAAGACCAATTATGGAAAAGGAAACTGACACTGGGTGAGGGCACGCCACGGCCCAAGTGTTCAACCAGGTGCTTTACCATCATACACGGAAGACATGTAAAAGCCAGGTTTTCACACCACAGCTGAATTCCTGACCTTCCAATATGGGCAGCTGGCTTAAATTCAGAGCATCTGTGACAGTCGTTTTCTTCAGTACTAAGAAGTACGCAGGGAAGTTGAGACAGGAGTTTCTGGTACCAAGAAAATATTAATACTAAAGCACGCCCCCTAGTGGGAACAAAAATTACAAACATGCAAGAGGCTGTATAGCCCGTTAACATATTGAGGGAAAACTGAATTGTGCAGACTAAAAGTATCTGAGGATGGCATGCAGGTATGCCACTCTTCAACTCTCTGTGGAGAGCGAAAAAACAGAAAAGCATTCATCAATGGGCTCTGCCCAGATTACTAGGATCACTGGAGCCAGAGGCTGAAAATTTAGATCACGAAATAGTTTAAAAGCAAAATAACTTAATGCAAATATGTTAACCCAGAAATGTTCAAAAACATATTTAAATTAGTGCTTTTAAAATTTACCCTCTCAAGGTCGCTCACTGGCTAAATGTGGGCTAATTTGAGAATAAAATTGTTCCAAATGATTATAACACATTGACTAAATAAAAAATCCAGGAATCTATGGGAGGAGAGGGGAAGGAGAGAGGGGGAGAGAGCGAGAGAGGAGGAGAGGAGAGAGAGGCGAGGGTGGGGGAGGAGAAAAGGGAGAGAAAGAGGGGGAGGAAGAGGGGGAAGGAGGGCAAAGCTCTTGTTTGCAGAACTCGAGGGAATACCCGCAGTAGAAAACCACCATTTTGCAATTCTCACATCATGATTTAGGCAAGAAGAGCCAATAGGTGCTAAAACAAACATAAGGATAAAGGTTATTGGGGAACAGGGTATACCCAGGATGCCCCAGTTTGACCCCATGGATTTCCTGTTAACTTCAGAGGGAAAACTGTCCCTTATAGCAAGTCACCATCTTAGCCAATGACCACACTCTGCCTCACTAACAGTGGGACACGGAACCCCACGGTCTCTGGACGAGATGCAACGTGACGCACACAGCACCTGAGAGTAAGCACGCCAGCCAAAACCAGCAACCTGATCTAACCAAACCCGGGCTTAACTTCCAGTTTACAGACAATACATAGACAAAGAAACAGTAAGACAAATCCAGAATGTTAGACAATTTACAAGACAACCAGCCCGGACTCTTCAAAAAGTCAGAGTCTTGTGAAAAAGGGAAAAAAGATGAGAAATGAGGAACGGTTCTTTACTAAAAGAGACTACAGAGACATAATAACTAAACACAGTGCCTGAATCTTGTCTGGATCATGATTTAAAAATGAATAAACACGAACCTATAAAGTTATTCTTGTGAGAATTGAGAAATTTGAATATTGAGTGAATGTTAGATATTATGAAATCATTTTTATTTGTTGGGTGTAATGTTGTACCTGTGGTAATGCAGAGAAATGTCCTTATTCTTAGAAGATGTATGATTAAGTATTTAGGTCATGTTATCTGCGATATTCTTTCAAATCAATTTTAGAGTGTGAAACTGACAAGCAGATTTTTCTTTTTCTTTTTTTTTTTTTTTTAACAAAGTCATTACAGTATTCTGACTGTAAACCTTACAGCTCATGTTGACCTAAGGTAAGATTAGGATGAATTCCTGAATCTTCTACGCAGACACTAGACAAGTTCAGAACACCTTAAAACCAAATACCCAGCTTCACCTACTCTAAGAAGCCCATTTTAAAGTTAATATAAATGTTTCTAGAAACCCAAATATCAGATACTCAAAGTCTTGATATCAACTCCACGTAACGGGCAATGAGTGTACAAGGTGAAGGTGTAGACACGGACCCCAGTGTTGACAACAAGACAATTTCCTCTGTGCTCGTGACTTGCCCTGTGACGCGCAGTGGGAAATGCTCACTGAGTGATCAGTGGCGGGTGCAAACAGTCCGAGAATCACTCAGCAATTTCCAAATAACTTGATTTTTAAAATCTGTAGTGTAATTTTTTTTTTATCTGACAAAGCTTTTTAAGTTAAATAAAATCCCTGTCAGTGCCTTCATCTGACAGGGGGTGCACATCGCCCCCTTTGATAACTCCCCTTGTACTGACGGAGGTTAGGTGAGCTGTGGTCTCAATAGAGGGAATTCCTCTTGTATACGATCCTCTCCCAGCTTCTAATGAATTAACAATAATTAATATGAAACTTATTCTAGTCTTTTCGGTACTTCTGAGATTTTTATGCATCCAACATTTCTATTATTGGATTTACCAGAACACAATATCAACTTAGGTCAAACATGATGCTTTAGGTGAGACGCAAAAAGGTGCAGCATGATGGTCATGGGGAAGGCTCTTTGCCAAGCTGCCTGGCCGCATACTCTGTAAGTTAAAGTTTAAACACCTCTATGTGCTTCAGTTTCCCTGTGTAGCAAATGCGCACGATGATGATGATGGTAACTACAGTTCTCAAATGGAGCCAATGTACATTAGAAGGCTGCTGTCACAGAGCAGCACTATGTTAGCATTTTTATTAATAAAATGAACACTGTGAATGCCTTGACAGGCAGGCATGCGACAAATTCATCTCACTAAATGGAGGGACAAAGAAGAGGAGAGCCCTGGGCGAGCACCTGTCAGGGCTGGCAGTGACCCCAAACACCTACCAAGCACCTACCTGTTGTTGCCTCTCCCAGGTGCCCTCAGAGCCAGTGCTGTGAACTGCAGGTCCCACAGTGGCCACTGGGGGCGTCTCTGGGGGGAGCACAGCTAACTGGCTGCCAGTCTCAGTGCTCGGGTGGCTCCCCCAACAGTGCCAATCGGTGCCCTCCAGTTCAGACAGGCAGTATGAGCAGGGCACAAGCTGACCCTCCTTGCCTGCAGGAAGCCAATGGCAGTGCCTGGGAAGCAGGACTTTGACTGGCAGAGGCAATGACCAATCAAAACAGAGGTTGGCAACAGCCTGGAACAGGGTCCTGGCTGTGGTGGTGACTGAGGGGGAGACCCTGGGGTGGTGACTGGGTAACTCGTGGTATGGCCGCACCAATGCATACCCACCCACGTTTAGCTGAGTACCAGCTCTGATGAGGTTAACAGCCATGGGACACCTGTCAACTCTGAACAGACTGACAGCCTGTGCCTGCAGAATCTGAGTGCTCAGATGTGTGCTTCAAGTACAGACAGTACCAGCTACTTACCTTGGGCGGCATATCTACAGGACCCGTCCTCCACCAGAACATTATAGAAAGGCTGATGATGGCCGTGAGGCAGGCTGTGGACGTTCATGTTTCGAATCCACTCATGTCCCATCATGCAGGTGGGGTCCCAGCCATAGATGACACAGTTATAGCCATACCTAATTAACATAAGAGCAGTGGCAGATCAGCTCCCTGGGGCCCTGTCATGGCAGCTATGAAATACAGAGACAGTGGCTTGGCTTCTCTGAAACTTACATTCTTAGAGATACACCTGCTTTTACTCCATGCTAAATCAATTTTACTCCTGCCTCTCTTTGTAAACCCCTCTGATTATCTATCTATCCATCCATCCATCCATCCATCCATCCATGGTAGGAGAACTGAGGAAACACAAACTCTCACCAGATATTTGATGAGGTTAATGAACTGATGATTTTCTTAGATATGACAACAGAATGGTAAAGGTGTCTTTTTAAAAAAGTGAGCCCTTACCGTTCAGTGTTACCTACCGAAATAGCTACAGAGGAAAAGGACCTCTGGTATTTGCTCCAGGGAGGAGGCGGAGGGGGTGAAACAAACTGTATGATAACCGTTGAAGCTGGACATGGGAACATCACCTGGTTCGTAATACTCCTCTCTCTACTCTTACATATGCTTGAAATTTCCACAACAAAGTTAAAAAATAATAAAAGAATGGAAAACACTAGCCAAAAACTGAGAAAAGATATTTGCAACTTATCTGCGTATAGAGACTAATACACAGAACAAAGAAACTGCAAATCAGTAAGACTAACAACTCAAATGAAAAGCAAAATACCTGAAGAGGCACTTAATCAGAGGAACCTGAATGGCTAGTAAATGCAGGGAAAGAACCTCAATCTGGGTGGTAACCAGGGAAATGCAAATTAAAACCACAATGAAATGCCATTTGCCATTTACCACATAAGTGCATTTTTTAAAGGTCTGGCACTAACACAAGTTGGCGAGAATCAAACCTCTCAGGTCCTGGCCTGCTGGTGGGATGTAAATAGGTACAGCTGCTCTGGAGGCAGTTTAATTTTGCCTCATCAATCGGCCGTGTCCAAAGCCCAGGACCCAGCAAGTCCCTACCACCCTCAGATCCAAGGAGAGCGAGACCACTGGAGAGAGTGAGGACGACGAAGAGAGGAGAGGAAGAACGAGGCTGACAGGGCTTCCATCCCCCACGGAGAAGGGTCACTACACACAGTAGAAGAGCTCCCCGTTAGGAAAGCAAGTTGCTTCTTAAAAAACAAAAAGGTTAAAGATATGGTTCGGCCTTCGGTCCTCGCTGCGATGGGCCTCGGTCGCTGCTGCATCGGGTCAGGTCCCCTCCAGGTGCACCCCCGCTGCTCCGAGAAGCGGGGCTCACGGCGCTGTGTCCTCTGCAGCCGCGCCGGGGGCGGGCGCCGGGGCACTCACCTCTTATGCTTCATAATGAGCCCAATGGCATAGCAGACGTCTCTGTGCTTCTCGTGGGAGCGGAGCTTCACCTCCACGCCCACCTCCTCCTTCTTCCGCTCAATGTGCTCCAGCGTGTGCTGCACCAGATAGCCCACCGCCCCGTGCTGCCCGGGGTCTAGGGTTTGGATGTGCTGGAGGATGTCAAGCACCTTCAAGACAAGACAGAAAGACTAGGAGATAATATTTTCATTTAGGCCTTTTCTTTTTCCTGGCAAGGGATTTAGACCTATGTAACCTGAGGAAGGGCAGCGAGGCGAGGTGGGCTGACGGCCCGTTACTCCACAGGCTCTCACCCTGTCGGCGCTCTGTACGCCCAGAGTCACTTCACGTGCTGGGGACTGGCCCCGGCATCCAAATGGAGCCAGCGTGAGCGGGAGGAACTCTTTGGAAACACGGGGACCAGGGTCCGCACAGGATGGGGACGCGAGGGCCTGTCGGACTAGGTGAACTCTAACAGCTTCCAACATTCTTGGTGAGTGGGGGGGACTCAATTTCTTACATACAGACAGGAAACATTTTCAACCTGCCACTCATGAATTGAGAGGAAAGAGAAATGTGAAACTGCTTCAATCGAGGTCAAGAGGCTGAGTGACAGACTGGCCTCAGTGCTGCAGGAGAGGGGAAGGGGTCACAGAGAGGGCACTGGAGTGACAGACGCAAATCAGCACAGTTCATTTATGATGCTATCTGTGAAGAATGAAGATGTGCGGGGCAGGGTTCTGAAATCCTACTGGTCGCTTCAGTGACTTTAACTCACAATGGAATTCAGCGTTCAGGCATACAGGGGGAAACCCCGTCTCCCCGCAATTAATGTGACTAGCTGGCAGAGAAGCACTGCCTGACCCCAAGGCTCTGCTCTTTCTACTGCACGCAGTGCCTCTATGGAAAAACACAAGCTCAAGGAAGGCTAACACACGTGAACAATTAGCAAGCCCCGCTCGCTCACAGCTCAGCCGAGGGTCTGTGACACGGGTCTCCTCCCACTTACGGATGCTGAGCAGGCAGAGCAGCCGGACTCTAGCCCCGGATCAGTCAAACTTGCTGCTTTTACCTTTGAATTAATTTATTCACTTATCAAATAATGATTAGTAACTGCCCTATTTCCTGATACATTGTGAGCCTATAAAATTGTCGTGAAAACTACAGCTTTATGCAATGTAACATATTATTTTAAAAGCCAATCTTGTCTTCCAGAATGAGATTTGCAGGATCTCAATATTTGCTGAATACTTATTCTCTGCCGGTCACTGTGCCAAGCCTGTCACATTTTTTACTTCATTTAATCCTCCCAACTTGAAGGTCAGCAGTCCAATCACTGCCAATTTCAAGAGGAATCAGACGCAAACAGAGCCGCTCTCCAGGCCAACCTATATAACCGCATCAGGACATTGGATTTACATCAATAGCATGATTCCTATTTAACCTAAACACATGAGACCTGCAACAAATTTTTATACTCGACTTAAATCACTCAAATCTCCCCCTTGAAAGACTCGTACTAGCTGCAGCCGGAAAATCTGCTCATTCTGGACTTCACCCTTGACCCCCCCCCCCCCCCCCCAGCAACAGAAGGCCCTGCTCCTGTCTCAGCCTTACTCCGCTCAAGCACAGTAGTCATGGCAGGTATCTTCTTGCTTATTCGATTTTACCCTTTAACAGAAAACAATCAACTTACTCAAACAGTAGCACTATGCTTAGGAGCCCTCACCACCCTATTCACAGCAATATGTGCCCTCACCCAAAACGACATTAAAAAAATTGTCGCCTTCTCCACTTCCAGCCAATTAGGCCTAATAATGGTAACAATTGGCATCAACCGACCCTATATAGCATTCTTGCACATGTTCTCACATGCTTTTTTAAGGCCATACTATTCATATGCTCCGGATCTATTATTCACAGCCTGAAAAACGAACAAGATATTCGAAAAATAGGAGGCCTATTCAAAGCTATACCTTTCACCACAACAGCCCTTATTATTGGAAGTTTAGCACTGACAGGAATGCCTTTCCTCACTGGCTCCTAAAGGCCTGATCACTGAAGCTGCTAACACATCTTATATCACTGTCTGAGCCCTGCTAATAACTCCAGTCGCCACCTCCCTCCCAGCCGTCCCAAGTGCTCGCATCCCCTTCTGCGCACTGCTAGGACCCCCTCACTTCTCTCCCTTAACCTCGATCAATGAAAACAGCCCACTCCTAATTAACTCCATCAAACTTCCTACTAATTGTGTTTTTGCTGGATTTATTATCTCCAACAACACCCCCCCAACAATGGTCCCCCTAATAACCACGTCCCCATACCTAAAATTAACTGCCTTTACAGTGACCATCCTGGGCTTTGTACTAGCACTTGCAATTAACCTTAACGCACAAGACTTAAACTTTATTTACCCCTCAAATATCCTCAAGTTTTCTAGGCTTTTAGGGTACTTCCCCACTATCATGCACCGTTTACCTCCCTACCTAAACCTATCGTAAGCCAAAAACCAGCAACCTCCCTCTTAGACTTAATCTGACTAGAAAATATTTTACTGAAAACCACCTCCCTTATTCAATTAAAGCCCTCCACACTAGTTAAGCAACTTGCCTGAGGTCATGGGGTTATGAAGACGTGCAGTGAGGATGTGGACCCAGGGCTGACTCGCAACCCCAGGTCTCAGTCACCTTCACATCAAAGCGGGAAGAGGAGTATTTTAATTGACTGTTAGGAACATTTTCAAACACATAAAAAATGGACAGAGTGGTATAACCCCAAGTAGCAGACCCAGCTTCAACCAGTACCAGCCAGGAGCCAATCCCATCCACTTGCCACCCCTCGCAGTGGCCTTGTAATGCAGGGGACACTAACAACAGTTGTCCCTTGTAGCTAAAAGCATCTGATTTCACAGTAAGCTTCTTGTGCTCCCCTCTGCAGCTCCAACTACTTACTGCTGACAACTTTTCTATAGACACAGCTTCCCCTTTGTTCCTGGCAGCCCCTTCCCACCAGATAAGTGAAAGAAACATAACGCGGAATCTTCAAAGCATAAAAGAAGTCTTGAACTCAGAGTATCAGAGGAGGAGATAAGGTTCAGGGATGATTACTCCCGTCTTTCCCTTGGTGTGTGGATGACAGGGTGAAGGGAGAGGGCAGAAACGGAGAAGACACCATGAGATGTGCCCAGTGTGTTTCCAAAAGCCGTGCTGACAGTGGGGCACCATGACGTCTACAGCTAAATGCCTAGGCCTAGAAGCCCAAGAGCCCACAACCTTCAGAGTAGAGATCTTGGAACAGGGGCGACTACTGCACATGACTGGCAACTTGCTCTGTACAGGGCCCGAAAGTAAATATTTTAGGCTTTGTGGGCCGGACGGTCTCTGACTCAACTACTCCCCTCTGCCGCTGTGGCTGAAAAGCAGCCAGAGACAGTCTGCAGACAAATGGACACGGCTGTGTGCTGACAAAACGTATTCACAAAGCCAGGCGGCTCTGGGCCCAGGGGCCAGAGTTTGCGGACCCTGCTCTGTCCTCTTAACTGCAGGTTTCCCCCGACATCTCTCTGAAGCTCTTGGCTCCAACCTCTGGACGTCCACTTCTGCAGGCTCTTCTACTTTTGGGACTTCAGCTACTAGATGCTGATGCCAAGAGCGCCCACCAAGCGCGGTACTCCATGGCTCCAGGTCATGCCAATCAAACTCAGCATATCCCAGACGGAACACTGTCTCCTACCCCGAAACAGGTCAGTTCCCCACACACTTCAACTTTTAAAGTGGCCTCCCTTATTGGAAAATTGGGATATTCTCTTCGAACCTCCTTCCTTGATCACAGCTAACGAATTTCTGTCATTTCTTAATCATTCATTCAAATAAAATGTTGTACCTACTGGGTGGCAGGAATTGTGTTGAGAGCAAGGGGAATAGCTACAGTAAAGAACAAGACATGGTCCCTGACCTTAAAGAGCACGGTCTCGTGCGGAAGGATGGTTAAGCAGCTGCGAGACACGCCGCACAAGCTTTGTGGAAGGGCGAGCTCAGGGCCGTCATGGTGCAGAGGGGCAGGGAGGGGTTTCAGAGGCAGGAGATCAGAGATTCGGGAGCCGCTGACCTACAGATGGTAACTGAGGTAAGGAGAGCTGGTGAGATCACTGAGGGGAGCTGTGCACAGTAGAAAGAAGTCTAGAAGCTACCCCACAGTGTAGAGCCTTAAAGGGAGAGACAAAGGACAGCAACTAGCGAGAGCCTGGGAAGAGGGGACCAGAATCAAAGGAACAGTGTTTTGAGTGGGGGGATGACCTCCAAGTGATCAAGAAAGATAAGGAAAGACAAGTGTCCACTGGATTTGGCAACAAAGAGAAAGGTTTAGCAAGAAGGCGTCATGGGCTTCCAGTTCACGTGGGGGAGGGCTGGGAATGGAGCCCCATGGTCTGCGCAGTGCGGGGGAGGCGAGGGGGAGGCCATCACAAGGACCCTGGCCAGGCTGGGAGCAGAGAGGTAAGGTGGAGCCATGGGCAAAGCCGGGGGCTGTTGTCGGAGGCTTCTCCTTCTCTTTTTTCAAAGATGGGGGAGACCTGAGTATGTTTAATGCTGACAGTAGAAGTAGAAACAGGGAGCTGCAGATACAGGAGAAGAAATAAAGGAAAACTTAGTAGTCCAAGGACAGGCAGCAGGTTGGATCCAGAGCACACGGAGTTTTGCCTTGGAAGACTGAGGGACATCTTTTCCACTGAATGTGGAAAATGGAGGGAAGGGATAACTACGGATCGGAACAAGGATGTAGGTTTAGCAGGAGGAGTAGAAAATGCCCTTCTGTTGGCTTCTTCAGAAACAATCTCGCCTTGGCCCTGGTCCACAGGGTTGAAGCGTGTGGGTGGGCTGTGAATCTGAGCGCCTGATGCCATCAACTTCTGTGCGGGAGACCTTGGCAAACTACTTAACTTTTCTCGGTGCCTCGATTTCATTGTTTGTAAAAGGGCAAAAAACAAAACAAAAGTAGCCACCCCAAAGGGCTGGCAGAAGGTACTGGAGGTGTGTGCAGCACTGAGCTCTCCCAGCCGTCCCCACCACTGGAGGAACCTACTTCCCTGTGCTCTGAAATCGTTCCCTGGCCTTCTAGGGCCACCTCAAACCCTTTCTCCGGAAAGGACCCTTTTCTAACTGCTTCCGCATCCCCTGGAGCCTTCCTTGCTTTGGGCCCCAGCTCTCCTCCACTGTCATGGGGTCCTTCCTGCAGTTACAGCACAGTTCATGGAGGCGAGACAGTTGCCACACATGGGGAAGGAGCCACTTTCCCTTCCTGAGCTTAGATGCAGGGAGCGTCTAGGTGCCTGACCCCAGCAGCCCATGAATGGTCATCATGGGGAAAAATGTTCTGCGTGTGACAATTTTGGAACTTGTTCCAGTGACATCTGCTTGGAAGGAAGGCAATCCTGACCATCTGAGGAGGATACCAAGGAAATTCCCCCAGAGGTAGCACAGGAGCCCTAAACTGAGCCTGTCATCAAAGGGAAGGATGCCAGGGCTTCTACAGACGTTCCTCCCAAAGGCGATGTCAACCCTACTCCTTCTAAGGCTGATATGTAATTTAAGTACAGAATCTACTTATGAGGAACCATGCATTTTACAAATTATCATGAAATTCCTGAACTAATGTACAGTAAAAAGTGAAAGGAATTAGTTATGTATATCCTGGTATCAAAAATAAATCAAGTAAAAAATAAACTATCCAATTCTGGACAAGGTCGTGGGAAGCAGGTGGTGACCTTGGTAGAGAGCCTAGTGTTCCAGTAACTCTTCTATCGCATCACATGGGTGTCCTGGGAGGACGGCCACTGCCTGGGCTGTAGATGACATCTGAAGACAGGGGCTCAGGGATTTTCCTACTGACGCATCCTTTCCTAGAACTATGGTAGATCTCTGACACTGTGAATAAATGAGGCAATGTAAATCTAAGCAACGGTGAGTCACTGATGTTATTTACTTTCTCAAGGAAGATTTTACCACTCTCTAGTGACAGGGCTGATGATTTTATGGTGATGTTCCTGTGAGAGCTTAGAATTCAAGTCTCTCACCTGGTTGTCTAAACAAAGTGGGCTATTCACATATTCCCATGGCCAAGCAAGGGCATGATGGGGACGAGCAGCTGCTCCTGCACTGTGCTGCATGGCTGGAAGCGTGCATGTGCTGCACCCGCAGCTCTTGAGGAGTGGTGCCGACCCCAAACATGGTGGCCTCTGACAGGGCTTCCTGCTGGCCAAAGGGGGCGTCACAAACCTGAGAGAGCCAAGTGGAACAGTAAAACCCAACAGTTTCCAAAGGCATAAGCAGTCCTAAAAGCATCCAGCAGCTGGACCTGAACACATCTAAGATCTCACTTTCCTACGCCATGCAGGGCTATTTACATGTGGTCAATTTAGTTGCTAACAGCACAGCTGGAGGATGAATATGGAAACTTCTGCTTCCCCCTGAGAAGGGTGGCTTGGGGAAAATACATCTTTGGGGCACCAGTGGGTGAGAGGCAGGGCCGAGGCCTTGTGGTTCTGGGAATTTAAGGCACTGATCACAGAGAGAATGGGCAATTCCTGGCAGGATAACTAATTTTTAGTAGAATAAAAGGAGACAAAAAGTTAAATCGATGGGTCAACACCAGGAGACTGTGAATAAATCTGTGTTTATCCTCCAGGTTAATACAAGGATAAACTTGTAAGCGCTGCCTCTCAGCTAGGATTTCCCTCTCTAAGGCAGGTGCAAAGCATCAAAGTAAAATAATTACCTTCTCTGGCCAGATGCCCAGGTGGAAGTAGAGCCTGGCTTGGAGAAGGAGGAGCTGCACCTGGTCCGGGTACATCGCCAGGTACAGATCCAGGGAGTCCCTCAGGAGCTGGTACGACTGGTCGATGCCTTCCCTGTGGGGAAAGAAATCTGTGTTTTATCCTGTTTGCTTCCGAGCTAAGACCCTCTTTTTCAAGGCCCAGATCTTAAAAGTAATGGACACAAATCCCACACGTTCTCTGATTCTGATACTTCCTCTCTTCAGCAAAGTTACAACACTCTTAACAAAAAAAGATACACAAGAAATAGAAATTTCGTACTCCACTAAGTTAAAATCGTAACCGTTTTCCTTACAGAGTCACCTTGATAACACTGTACATAAATTAAAAATGGACTCTGAATAGGTGGAGGACTATTAGGTCAGTGAAACTCTTCTAGATGACACTACAGCGGTGGGTACACGTCATTACATGCTTGTCAAAATCCACAGAATGTACACCATCAACAGCAAACCCAATGTAAACTATGGACTTGGAGTGATAATGACGTGCCAAGGTAGGTTCATCAACTGTAACAAACAGCCTGCTCCCAGGAGGGGGGTTATTGAAATGAGGGAGGCCGTGTGTGTCCAGAAGCAGGGGGTAAACGGGAACTCTCTGTACTTGCTGCTCAGTTTTGCTGTGAACCTAAAACTGTTCTTAAAAAAATAAAGTTTATTTAAAAAGAAATTCTGCCATTAGGCAGAAAACTAATACTCCAATCTATAAATTTCTATTTTCCCTGTAAGACAATTTTCCTTGGACTCAGAAGCAAGACTGTTTCATACTTTTGTTTGTCCTCTTACCTAAGTGATAGAAAGGTATAAATTCAAAGACAGCAAAGCACTAGGAGGTGAAAAATAATTGTTGCCAGTCTAAAATATTCTTGTTACTGGAGAATGCTTTCAGCATTTATAAAAGAGAACTCGCCCAAGTCCACTGCAAAGATCTCAAAGAAAAGTCACTCAGCACATCCTAAGTCTGGATAGCATTACATCAAGGGAACCAGTTTTTTCCCACGGTGGGCAGATAGCTGCAGCTGTCCCAACTGTGCCACAAGCATCCGCTGCTTCTCTGTATCACAGGCAGAGGCTCATTAAATAAAATTCTCCGTAAGGTAATTTGCACCTCCAAAGACGCACACGCCGCGGAAGTACTGGAAAACCAAGAAAACCTTACCGCTTTCCCAGGCTTAAAAGGTTTCCCACCATTCGCTGTAACACCTTCTTTACGTTCACCACCCCATACAGCGCTGCAGTCACATGCTGGCCGATCAGGTATTCACATTCTTTCACTGTCAGCTGCTTGCCTTTCCCAAAGGCATCTATGTAGATGTAGTCAAAGATGTCCAGGGTTGCCCTATCCAAAGAGCACACGCAGTGAGTCGTATCTCAGATTAGAGCTGAACAAGTCAATATTTAAAACCCCGTAATAAGTAGCTCAAATCAGAGAATGGATGCTAACACAGTGGCATTTTTACTGAAAATATCAAGGCCTTGCCCAGTCTGAGATCTGACCTGTATGCACACGCTGCTGTATTAAGGCTGCAGTGCACTGACACTTGAGAAATAGCCCTGGTTTATGCCATTCAATATAGTTAGAGAGATTAACTCTAAAACTCACTGCCAGGCCTACCTATCAGAAGTCTGGTTGAGAGAAACATTTCTGGAATGCCTGAGCCAGTCTATTAATTTCACAGAGTAGCAGCAGTTAACGTCTGCGGATCCCGGGCCCCTTGAGGCTGTGATGACAGTTATGGGGCCTGGGGCCACAAGGATTCTGGCCTCAGCTCTGCAGATGCGCTCGGGAGGCTCAGGCTGGGACCCTGCTCCAGACCCCGGAGAGCTGCGTCCCTGGCCTCCACCTCCCACTCCTCCCATGGAACCGCCCTCTACGACCCGAGCTCTCGCACGTGGGGGTGGCCCACGCCGAGCCGGGCCGGTAGGCGGTCACATAAGCAGGTTCTCACCTCAGGACCTCTAACGATACTGCATTCACCCTACGAGGACTCCTGAGGGATTGAGGTGGGACTTTGTTTCAGGGATAGCTGTGTTTTTTTTCTTTGAGCAACTGTTTCACCTTGATAGAAACTTTCTCTTCGGCAGCTAAAAAGCCCAGTCAGATTTCTTCTTTGAGTCGTATTAATAGCCTGCCTTTAGCAAGACATATATAATTGTTCCAGAAATAAGGAATGCTCTTCAACCCTTTTTTTGGGTCTAGGAGAACCATACAAATGCACACAAGTTTACAGGCAAAAATCCTAAACAAAGTATGAGCAAATCAAACACAGCAAATGTATAAAAATCCACATGAGTAAGTCAGATGCTCCTTAAGAATGAAAGGAGGTCTGAATGCTAAAACATTTCACCACATGCAGACTAAAGGAGAAAAACCACATCCTATCTGTAGACACAGAAAAGAAATTTGGGGGGAAAAATCCTAGTTATTAATAAAACTCTTAGCAAATTACGACTTTATTATTGTTTTTTCCTTTTTTTTTTAACCGCACCATGCGGCATGCAGGCTCTTAGTTCCCCGACCAGGGATGGAACCCGTGCCCCCTGCAGTGGAAGCGTGGAGTCCTAACCACTGGACCGCCAGGGAAGTCCCAAATTACAACTTTAGAAGGCAGCTTTGATCATCTCAATGAAAGGTACTGCTCACAAACATCATGTTTGAGATGAAATTTTAAAGTCATACCCAAGGCAGACTGCCTGCTATCACTGTTTCTATTCACTGTGTACAAGAGGACCCCGCCAGCAGAATAAGTAAAAGAGACACAAACATACAACAGCTGGAAAAAAAAAGAAGAAATAAAACTGTCGCAATTCAGACAATATGACGGTCTACATAGAAAAGTTGAAAGACCTAGCAAATTATTAGCACTAATAATTGATCCAGCAGAGGTGCTGATAATCAGACCCAGATCTAAGTCATCAACCATGTCCCTGTGCACCACCAATACATAGCGTAATTTAAACAATTACCATTTACAATAGCAACAAAAAGGTACCCAGGAATAAATCTAGCAATATATCAAAGAGCTGGATGTAGAAAACAATAAAATATTTTTAAGGACATTAAAGATGACTTAAACGTGCAAGGAGATGTGTTTACAGACAGACAGACTGAGCAGGGAAGCGCAAGCAGGCCATACTCCTCACATGAATCCACGAATCCAGAGGAGCTCTGGGCCCAGCTACCATACCAGAGCTTCGAGGTGCCTGACAAACGGATTCTAAAGCTGCACATGGACACCAGGCTAAGAGGAGCCAGGGCAATTCTAAAGGACTCCGTGGGGGCCTCGCCCCACCAGTCATTAGGACTAACGATAAAGCCACAGTCAACGCGACACTATGGTCTCGGTGCAGACACAGAGACCACGGGCCCGAGGAGCAGTCCAGTCAGGACGCAGAGGGCCTGCAGCCCAGCAGCTGTGCGCTCTCCCGCCAACCTCCCGGCCTCTCCCCAGCGGGCCAGCCCTTTATGGGTCTCAGTGTTTGTGTCTGCCAGGTGCTTTGGGTGCTAACAAACCACTTCATCGTTCATCTGCATTGTGGCGTATGCTCACTGCAGCCTGAAGAAGGAAAGACAATCCTGTTACCACACACAAATGTGCCCGGCAGTAGGTCACTGTGGTAAGTAACATGGTAATTGGGGTTTTAAATGCTTTATATCATGCAGAAATCCTTGGTGGACCATTATATAAGCATTTAAGAATATTTTAGAGATATTTGGGGAAATTGGTTGGGTTATTCAGGGAGAGGGAATGAGCTGAAAAAGCACTTTTCTCATTTAAAATAATGGAAAATGGGTGCCTGCTATCCAAAAGAGAAACCATCCAATACATTTTAAGGAACAGATTATATCTGGGAAACAAGGGAAGCCTGTACTCGCTATTCAAGGAAACATACACATGTAACGAAATATTAAAATTTGCATGGAAATAACAAATACTTTCAAACTAACTGGCGGTTACCTCTAGAGAGAAGAGGAGGGAAAGGGATAAGGAAGAATACCGAGGAGCTGCCAACTTACAGACAAGTTTTATTTCCTAAACCCGGAGGCGGAAATATAGAGACCAGCATGAGAAATTCCACGAGGCGTGTAAAGCACTGGGCTCTCTCATTTAACCCTCCAAACCACTTTATGAAAAACATTAGCCCCATTTTACACAGGAAGAAACTGAGGCTCAGAGGAAACCGAGGTCTAAATTCAAACTTCAAAGCTCAGCTACTTTCTATCATTCCACTCATCACTTCACCAAACAGTACCACAGCCAGTCATTAAGAAGTAGTTTGAAGTAACAGGATGTAATTAAATAACTATGTTTCTTTTCCCTCTAGATGGCACTTTTTTTAAAGAGACCAGTCTCTCTAGACTATAGCTGAAAAGGAGCTTTATGTCCAATAGGACACCAGGTCTCAAACAAGAGAACAAAATAGAACTCATTAACCTGGTCTGCAAAATGCGCATCAGGTCACCAACCTTGCCTAAAAGGAGTGCCGCTGCTGAGAACTTGAATATTTGCTTTTGCACATGGATGAAGAACTTGGGCCCAGTTCCCAGTCCCCTGCTTCTCCCTCCCTCCTTCCCTCTCTTCTGGGGGGAGATTTTACAGAAGACTGGGAAGTAACAGTTTCTTTAAGAACTCTTTGTACTGATTTGCTTCGGAACAAAGGGACTCTGAGATTCACATAAGATCCTGAACTCTTAGTCCTGTTCTTTAAAATTAAATGTTTTCTCTGAGGTAATTGGAGATTCACATGCAGTTCTGAGAAATAAGACAAAGATCCAGAGCGCACTTCTCCCACGAGCAGATCACGGACGTGGATACAGTCAAGAGCAAACCAGTTCCATCACCACCCTAGGCCCCCTTTTAACCTCTGTTGTTACATCTCCTCTCAGCACAGTGGAAATGAATCCTCAGGGCAATCACGATGTGTCACGGATGGCTCACCCTTCTGCACCTTGGCACCACCTTAATAAGAAGTGACTGGGGAAGTTGACAGGCTCCAGTGGGACCCCCAACTGCCGGGCAATGGTCAGGTAGAGCAGAGACATGCTGATTGGGATTCCAGTTCTGCGGATTAAAACCTAGCAGAGAAAAGAAGGCTTTAGCTTCACAGAGATGAATCACACCTTCTCACCCCTTCCCCACACCTTCTCAGTGGCCACCTACTGTGCATCAGGTGAGAGGACAGGTTTTCAGGCTTAAGTGGATGAATATTTCATTTACTTAGATCAGGGCTCTCGGACTACAGTCCATGGGCCAAATCGGGCCCACCAACTGTTTTTGGATGGCTTGCATAAGAAGAGTTTTAATATTTCTTAATGTTTAAAAAAGTCAAAAGAATACTATTTCATGAAACATGAGAACTATATGAAATTCATATGTCCATGTCCACACACAACATTCTACTGGAACACAGCCACATGCCTTTGTTTCTGTATGGTTTGTGCCTTCTTTCGCTTGACCATGGCAGAACCGAGTGGTTAGGACAGAGGGTACGTGGCCTGCAGAGCCAAGGAGAATCACTGTCTGGCCCTTCACAGAAAAAGTTTGCAGACCTGTGATTTAGGCCCTCCTTCTTCTAGGAAGAACGTAAGGCCATTTCAGATAACGTGTGTAAGATATGACAAAAGAAAATACAAGTCTCATAGAGAGCAACAGAACAGATACGAAAACAGAGACAAGTAGGAAGCAAATAAAAAACAAGCATCAATGACGTAGCTGGTCATGTATTTCCTCCAGTCTTCCTGGAAGCCAGTGCAAAAAGGTTAGTTTCATAGTTTAGTGTTCACAAGATGCAAACTGATCACACTGAGTCAGAGAAGTCCTATTTCTAGTCAGGAATTTACTTCAAGGGTTTTCAGAGGATGCTCTGTGATGAAGTAGGTAAAAGCCACAGCAATATCCTCACAGTAGAGGCAAAAATGAGTTTCACTGGGCATTGAGAGATGAACAAAATCTATTACTTGCCCTCAGTAACTGTACAGTTTATCAGAGATAAGCTTAATATATATATAATTATTATATTTTCTATCATACACATATTTACCTGGTGCATATATAAGTTTAGGGCATTATAGTAATCCATTCGGTTCCCCTTGAACTTCAGTTGGTCATAAAGGACGTAGTTCATGGCATCCAGCACCTGGCTCTGGAGTTCTATTTCCATTATCATGGAGGATTCACCTGAAATACAGAGACCTACTCTGAGGACACAAGCACAAATAACGTTGTGACCAGTGTCCCAAATAACCTTTAACATGCAGACACTGGCAATGTCCTAAGAATATACATCAGGTGTTACCAACCCAGGGTGGAAGAGACAACACGTATTTGAGGTCTTTTACATCACCCAGGTGAACACGTGGTTGTGTCCTCAGTCGATTTTGGGGACATAATGGGAATGCACTGCAGAATTCCCCAAATTAATCAATTACTCTACGTTTTCTTTTGCAAATACAGCTATATCGGAAGCAGTTCCACACCTGCCTTGAAGGCCAAGCTGGGGTGGCGACTGTTTATGCCCCGGAGGGTTTTGCAAACAAGCTCCACGATGCTGTCAATCTGGGCCTGAATGTCTCTGAGGCTGATGTCGGAGAGAGGATTGCAGTACTGGTCAATATACACTGCACCTGAAATGAACAAGAATTACTGAATAAATTCCTACTTCCACCTTTTCTTATCAGTGGTCATTCACCCCAGACTCCTGGAGCCACAGCTCTTTACACCCCTCCTCCAGATGTGGTTCCTATCTCGGATGTCAGGTCTGGCTGCTGCTAATACACTGAGAAGGAGCAACATTCTTACAACAAAGAAGATTACATTTCGTTATTATTATTATTTTTTTAATATACCAAAACTCTCTCAGAGGTCATGGACTCAAAAGAACTGTGTGATACATGCCATATCTCCACAGTCTACTAGGAAGAGAAATAAATACCATAAAGGAGATCTTTTCAAGCTACTTCTCTGTCCCTAATTTTCTTATAGTTCAAAATCCAACAACTCTGAAAACTTGTAAGACAGTTCATTGAGACTTAAAAAAAAAATAGTTGAAAGCCCTCAATGTCAGATATACCATTTCAACAAATTATTCCTCTGAAAGGTGAGCGGGTAAATGGACTTTGGAGATAACCGGACTTTGAAATTAAATAGTTACACTCAGGAAACCCACAGCTAATAAGTTGTACAGAGCACACCAGAGATACTGTCTCTCAAAAATCACTACTCTTCACCACCTTAGGTTACTTTTTAACCCGAGACCCAGTGGGCTAACCTGCTCATCTGCTATAGGCCGTTTTCACTCGGGAAGCTGTAGAGTCACTTTAAATTCAAGAGGTCTCAAACCAGCTCAGGACCTGGATCCCCTACTTACACCCCAGTGGGTATCAAGAGACCTGCACACCAGCCCCAGTTCTGCCACCAGCCAGGGAATGGCTCCTGGGTCTCCTCGGGACTCAGGTCCCCCAGCTGTCGGCTGAAGGGCTTCATGCTGCACAGCTCCGCAGCCCGTCCTATCTGCTGCTGCTTCGACTTCGTCAACGGCGTCAGGTGATTCTAGCTGGTCACCAAGGATCAAAACCTTGGAGCCAATTTCTATTCACTCAACTAGTTAAAAACCTTCAACAGCTACCCAGTGTCCACAGCACTGATGTGAATGAGCTGCTGAAAATTATAATATTACTTAATATTTGGAAGATGAAAGAGAAGCAATTGTTTTCATAAATAAAGCCTGTCAAGTTATTCCTGACTGTGGAATAAACAGAAGATGCATATGTGAGGATTCCAGGGTGGTGAGGATATTTTATTTTAATGAACTGAAGCAGACACTTCCTGTCCTTCTGGATGGTTCAATCAATAAGAATCTGCACTACACACTGCGGAGTACATCCTGATCGTAACATAAGGACAAGGAACTCAAGAAACACAGTGACTATTAAAGAAACAACCTGTACACACAGGAAGCAGAGAGGATGGATAGGGTTTACTAGCCACTGCTACTGTAGGTCTGAGGCAGTAAAATCTGCAAGTGTTGCAGTTATCACGGAAACTTAATGCAAGTGAAACCTGAAATGAACTTGGAGGGTGAGTAGGATTTAGGAGGGAATCCTAAGGAAAAGGGATACCACGAATGAGGAAGTGAAGCCAGGTGTATGTGCATGGTGCCAGTGAGGATAGTGGCCTGGCTGGAGCAAATGGGACATTTTAGAGAGTGATGGGGAAAGGCCTGGCTGAATTATGGAGGGCACTGAAAGCAGGCAGAGATTTAATTTCAAAAAGGAAGTCAGCTGGCCACGTCGCAGGCTCACATGGAGTGCTGGAAAGGCTGGGTTTCAGACTAGGCCGGCTGACCTGAGAGCAGGAGGGCGTGATGCCCATGAAAGCAAGTATTACTTAGAAAGCTGCTGCTGGGAGAGGTGGCAACAGCCTGCGCGACACCAAGAACGGAACGGAGACACGACTATGAGAAACGCTGGAAAGGAAAAAGAATCAATGAACTGGGTAAGTCGCTGGGAGTAGGGAATGAAAGTGAAGGAAGAGTCATATCTGTATTTCATAACCATAATTTGTGGGAGTGTTTGTGTAATATGCTAGGAATTTAAAATAGTTTTCTAAAAATGAAGTCACATTTTGTTCTTGCTCAACTCAGTAGGAACAGAAAGTTCTTCCCTTCATCTTGCCTGTCCACTGGACTTCTTTCCACTCAGTTCTCATTATGGACAACGAGACTCACTGACATGCAAGAACATTTTGTCCTCATTAAACTCCAACCAGAGAGGTTAAGGGATTTGCTCGAGGTCACATGGAGACAAAACTGGACACGTTTATTTCTGATCTGAAATGAGGCTTCAAAGCTTGGAGAGACAGGGAATTAGCCTCATTAGCTAAAATGTCAGCCTCATGCTTTGAACCGATGATGCACCTTTAAATTTATTTATTTATTTATTTATTTATTTATGGCTGCGTTGGGTCTTTGTTGCTGTGCACAGGCTTTCTCTAGTAGCGGTGAGTGGGGACTACTCTTCGTTGCGGTGCGCGGGCTTCTCATTGTGGTGGCTTCTCTTGTTGCAGAGCACGGGCTGTAGGCGCGTGGGCTTCAGTAGTTGTGGCTCACGGGCTCTAAAGCGCAGGCTCAGTAGGTGTGGTGCATGGGCTTAGCTGCTCCGCAGCATGTGGGATCTTCCCAGACCAGCGCTCGAACCCGGGTCTCCTGCACTGGCAGGCGGATTCTTAACCACTACGCCACCAGGGAAGCCCGATGGTGCATCTTTATAAACACTGTCTCTTTAGCTGACAGCTAAAGATTTTGACCAGATCTTAGCTCTGAATTTAATCGTTCTGCCTACCTAATTGATCAGACCATACAACCCAACCTCCAGAGGCCCATGTAGCACAGTTTACTTTTCCACTGCTTTTCCATCAGGGCCACTTTCACTGCTGCTCTTAAGGACAACTCAGCTGCCTATCAAAATATCAATGTTGAAGTCTCACCTTCAAGATATGATTCATAATCATCAGGCTGCTGAAGAAAAGCCTTAAGATTATTTAAAATTTTCTGTTGTCGCAGGTAATAAAGAATTTTTTTGGCGTAGTATTTCCAGGTCAAAGCTTTTCTGGAAAAAACAAATAAACAAACAAGCAATGAGTCAATAAGAATTAAGATATTAAAATTCTCAATTATCCATCTTTTTACTTCACACTAATCATACCACGTTAAGAGTCTACTTAACAAGAAAAGTATAATTGGCTCACAAGCATATAGTACGTATCATGGAAGCAGACAGCACAATTTAGGGTTTGGCATTTGTAATTTAACACTAAATTAGCTGTGCTGAAATTCAAGAAACAGTTATCCCTTTGGCTTCAGATTTACTAACAGGAAATGAAAGAGAAACCTGAAAAGTCAGGGGAGCTGGGTGCGTCTCAGGAGACAGGAGAAAGGCATTTTGGAAGCTTTCTGGCCGCTCGGACCTTGGGCTGCTGCCTTTCTCCTACACTCACTGCCATCTCATCCAGTCTCGAGGTTTCAGACACCATCCATACTGACGCCCCCCAATTTATTCTCCAGAACAGGTTTTTCCCCTAAACTCCACACCTGTATATCCAACTGCTACAACCACATCCCACTTCAATATCTGATGAGACTTAACTTTCTTCCCCTCCTAGAGTCATGCCCATCTCAGATAAAGGCAACTCCACCATCCAGTTAGGACGCCCTCGGAGCCATCCTTGACTCCTTGCTTTCTCTCACAGCCATATTCAATCCATCCACCTATGCTCTTAGTCCTATCGTCAAAATATATCAGAAATGTGTGCACGTCCAACTCATCTAAACCACCGTCCTCTTTTGTCTGTATCATAGCAGCTTCCTGCTTTGATCCTTGCCCCTCACAGTCTACATTCGACATGGCAGCCAGAGGGCGCCAGGTGACATGTTAAGTCATAGCACAAAAATCCTCTCTCCCAAATTCTCCAATGGTTTTCCACGTCGATCCAAGTATATAAAAGCCCAAGTCCTAATGATGACCTAAAAGGTCCTTTAAACTCTCGCCCCGTTACCTGTCTGCCCTCAGTTCCTGTATCACCCTCCCCACCCAGTCCAGCCGCCAGCAATGCTGGTTTCCCAGCCGTTCCTTCCTCACACCTGGCTGGAGTTCACCTTAGGCCTTAGCACTCAATTCCTCCTGACTAGAACGTTCCTTCCCTGGGGATCTGCAATCTGTGCCCTCATCTCCTTGCCGGTTTTGACTGAAATGTCGCTTTGAGTAAGGCTTTCTCCCACCATTCTATTTAAAATTGTACCCCCCGCTATCGTTCCCTCACCCTCTCCTCTGGTTAATATTTCTCTATAGCACTTCTCATTTTCTAATATAATTAATGTCTTAACTTTGTTAAGCATCTCTCTTCTCCACTAGAGTGTGAGCTCCATGAAGGCAAGGTTGTTCTTTTTTTAAGTGTTGCTTACTGCTGTATCCTCAGCTCCTAGAATGGTGTCTGACACACAGCAGATGCTCAATAAATACTTGCTGAATGATTGAAACTCTTCATCAGATCTCCCAAATATGCACAGGGATTATGGGAAGTAGGAGGGAGACAATCAATGATTAACTTATTGGCCTGGCTTCATAAATAAAGGACTCTCCAATCTTCAGGGAGTAAGTGAAAATGAGCAGAGCTAGGTTTTACTAGCTTTTTAACCTTTGAGCTATAAAGTGTACCAATCTAGAAAATCACATGAAACAAACGAATAGCCTAATGAATTATTATAAGGGAAACACCCTTGTATCCACCACTTAGGCCAAGAAATAGAACTCTGCAGAAACCCCAGAAGCTCCCCATGGGCCCTCTCCTCCCCCCCATGACAATGATCACAATCCACACCTCAATGGTCATCACTACCTTGCTTTTCTCTAGAGTTTTTGCAAATGTGTATTCCTAAACACTCCAGACTAGTCTGTTTACATGCTTTTAAGTCTTTTAATTCACAGGATCCCCCTTCATCTTTTTTCCCCTTGTATTTTATTTGTTGAAGAAACCTGGTTGTTTGACCTGTACTTTCCCATAGTCTGGAATTTGTTGACTGCATCCACATGGTGTAGCATAACATGTTCTTCTGTCTTCTAAATTCCTGTAAATTGGACGTAGAGGCTTGATCAGATTCAGATTCCATTTACTTGGCAAGACGACTTCATAGGCGGTAGTGAGTTCCATAAGGAGGCAATCATGCCTTGGTTGTCTCTTTCTGTGATGTCAGCAGCCATTGCTACTCAAAGGCCCAGGTCTGTTAATTCATTAGAGGCCATAAAGTGGTGATGTTCTAATGCAGCCATCCCTTTTAATTATTAGCTGGAATACTTCTATAAAGAATAATTTCCCCTCATCTACTATTTGGTCCCCCAGTGGCATAGTATGTAGGAATAGGCAGGATAAATGTTCACTTCTTTCCCTTTATCGTTTTCCAAAATAATAATTTGGGTTCTTATTATCCTCCAAAGGTGACCAATTAGTTGTTGTTAAGTATTATTGTGAACTCATGGAGCTAAACATATTTGCTGTATTTCCACCCATTCTAGTTACTGTCCACACTGATGCTCAAAATCGCTACATCTTTGGCCAAAGGAAGCCTCTTCACGTTGGCCCCTGAATACTTCTGACAGGAAATATTGTTACTTTTCTCGCTACCTGGTTCTAGGCTTCCCAGATGCTTCCAGGGTCATCTTTTACATTTCCTGCTCTGGACCTAGAATCAGGCGTTTCTCCAAAAACCCTGGCTGCTTTTGATGGGGAGTAGTATGAAGACCACAATCTGAGTGCTAGGGATGATCATTTCTACTAGGTTGGTTATTGTTTCTAGGCCTTTTCAGTGGGCAGATACGAAGTCTAGTGTATAAGTGTGTGTACACACACACACACACACATATAGCTACACGTATTTAAACATAAAATATCTCATGAATTCATACTGACACATCTAATTCAAATTCAGAACTATACAGTTTTTACCTTCTTCTATTTTGTATCTATATCTTTTTTTCCTCCAGGAGAATCCTGCTTCTTCAGGATACCAGTGATGAATTAGAATACCACATAATCACTCATTAGCTTTATTCTACCTCGCTCTCTTTTATACACACACACACACCAGCCTCAGAATAACAAGACCAATATTCTTATCACCTTGATGATTCCTGAAAACACCTAAATATTTTGTTCACGATCTCCCCCATCCTCTGCTCATTTCTTCTGGACAGCTGTGTTGTATCTACACTGTCAGGGCTTACAGCCATCACATACAATACTTTTTCCCCTATCACCTGTCACTTGGATTTAATTCTACAAGTAAATATGTATTTAATGTTCACCACTAGTTCTTGCATCAGGGTCTCTTTAGTTATTTTGGTTGTCTGAAGCTCATTTTCTAGCATATTTTTCAGGTAGGGCTAAGAAGTCCCTGAGTTCTTTCAAGTGGATGAGTTTTTCCACAGCCCTTACACTTGGAAGTCAGTTTGGCTGGATATAAAAATACTTGGCTGACATTTTCCACCCTTGGGTATCTTAAATGTGTTACTCTTTTTTTTCTCTGGCAGAGAGTACTGCTGTTGAAAAGTTTAATGATTTCTGATTTGTTCTCCCTTATACGTGGCTTTGTCTTTTTTGCCTGGATCCTCAAAGGACTTTTCTGTCTTTAAAATCTAGTAGTTTTACTGAAATATGTCTCAGTGCTGGTCATTCTGGGTCAATATTCCCAGATATAGTGTATGCCCTTTTAATATGTTGCTTCAAATCTTTATTTGTAGGATGTACTCTTCTTTTAAGACCACATAAAACACCATAAATGTAAACTGTTTTTAAATACCCAGGGACTGGTGCCTTAGCACCAACTACCCTTCTTCCTTCCTATGCTTTCCATATCCAAACAACAAGCATTTGCCAGGAATGAATACAAAGAGGGTCCTTCATGAAAACCGTCATCCCCAAATACTTACAAACAGGAGAGTATCCCTTATTATTAAAAACCAACCCTGTTTTAGGTTCAAAATACTCGTCAGGCTGAAGGGTACCATACTTATGATAATTTCTAAGAAGACTATAACGATACACACTTCTAGTGGCTGTGCATATTTAGTCTTTTTTTTTTTTTTTTTTTTTACCAATCTGACAAGGAAAAATGCAATATTTCATTGTTATTTAACATTTCTTCGAAGAGTGAACTTAAAGGTCTTTTTACTTGACTGCCAGCCACTTGTACTTGCTCTTCTGAGAATGTTGTCCTCTTATCCTTTGTACATTTTTCAATTTCTTTTCAGAAATTTTAAGGATTCTATTGACTTTGTTTATGGTTTCTTTGGTCACACAAGTCTATTTGTTTAATTGCAAAATCATTTGTCTTTATTTTTTTTTATTGCTTTTGCATTACCAGTCTTGGTTAAGGAGGTATCCCCAGATTGTACATGAAGTCTCCTATTTTCTTGAAGGATTTTCATTGTGACAGTTTTAAATTTTAGGTTGTTTAATCTCTTGGAATTTAATTTTTGTATATGATACAAGTTTTACTTTCTTCCAGATGGATATTCAGTTATATCCAATACCATTCATTAAATAACCCATCTTCTCCCCTCTGAGTTTAAATATATTAAATTATCTGTTATGCTGAGACATGAATTTGAATTATCCTTTGCCACTGATGTAGCTATCTATTTTTACTCAAATATTGTATTGTTTGATAACAGGTAGTGTCATAATATGTCCTAATATCTAGTGATGCAAGTTTCCCATTGTGATTATTTAAAAATTGTTTTTTCTGGCTCCTGTGAATTTACTATTCTGTATATATTTTATGACAATACTATCCATTCAAAACACACAGAACTCCCCCCTCCCAAAACTCTTGTTGGATCCTAACTGGAACGGCACTAAGTTTATGTATTAATTTTGGAAGAATCAACATTTTCATGATGGTAAGTCTTGTTATTCAAGGACATGTTATCTCTTATGTTTTTCAAACAACATTCTATAGTCTGACCTAGGAAACCCATCCCCAGGAATCTAATACTCAGAAATGAATGCACTAGGAACACCACCCTCCATAGTAACAAAATGGAGAAGAAAGTGGTCACCCATTAATGGGGGATAATTAAATAAGTTATGGTATGTACTACAAAACAGTATGCAGCCATTAACAAAAGTGAATTTGATTTTTACCGTTGATTAGGATAGATTTCCACGGGGCAATGTTGAATGAGGAAAAAAAGATGTTGAAAAGTACCTATTATTTGATCTCAGTTTTGTAAAGTGACGATCCCCCTCCATCCGCATGTATATCATATTAGCATGGAAGCATACAACCTAGGTTGTCATCATAAATTATGGGAGTGGGGGCTGGGAAGGGCAGTGCAAATGGAGGGAGAAGGAAGGAAAAAAACAACATAAATAAGAAAAAAAATAAAAGTCTGCACTAAACATCAAACCAAACCCAAAACAACCAATAAACTGAGTATGTATAATATTTATGTATTTAAAAGTTTATGTGTATGTATGTAAAAAGGCCAGGTCGACTTTTATTTTTAAGGCTGCACAATACTGACTATTAGATCACACTTCAATTCATTTATAGATAAACCAAAATAGAAACAGAAAAATGACCTCTGCATCAGAACTCATCCAAGGCCTAGAATAGTGACACATCTTACCTCTCCCCACAGCTGTTCCACTGATAGATATTTCTCTCTCCTAAACCCCCTTGAAAACAACAAGAAAAATGTCTTGCTCCCTGTTTGTGAGACATTTCACAATAATCTCTCTTAAGGAAGATGTTAAACTAGCACTCTTATCTTCCATCACTAGTAAAGTTTCTAGAACTTTTAGAGCAGAAGATCTTTTTCGTAGGTTAAGCTTAACTTTTTCCAGATAAGCTGGAAGCCAAGTCATCTTTCAGGTAAACTGGAAATTAACCTTCACAGCAGAAAATATAAGGCATAAAAAAATTTAAGCAACAACCAAGAGAGAATGGATTCTTCTTAATCAGGAGAGAAAAAAGGCTCAACCAAATATCTATAATGTTCATTGCCAAAGTAAGATTACTGCTTACCAGAATTCAGAAATTGTAAAAAAAAAAAAAAAAAAAATTATCCATTACATTAAGACATACGTAAGAAATTTTTTTAATTCAACTAATGACAGGCAAATTTGGTGGTAGCAGATGAAGAGATGACAACAAAGAAAAGATAATCTGTATTACCCAAATGATATACAGATACAAGTACCCAGAGCACAGTATTTGACCCATAGGAGGACTAAATATTAATTCTCCCAAAAGGATTTTTGCACCATTTCTTTAAATATCAATTGTCTTGGTGTATTTACCTTATATACATGGAATTTTTCAAAAATATAACTATGGCAACATGAATGTAACATGAAATATTTGGAAATACATGTACCACAGTTCAGTCACATACAAATTACAGCAATTAATTCTGGGGTTATTATTAAAACACACAAACAAACTAACAAAATCCCTGATAAATCTACAGCTTACCTTCCTTCCATATTTAGGATACACACCAGTTCATCCTCAAAAAATATCTCTGGTCCCTCAAGATTCTCAATGTCACTAAAACCGTTACAAGGGACCTATGAAGAAGAGACACAAAGAGGCCTCAGCAACGAGTAATAATGTTGTCACTCTCACACACAAGTCTGAGTTGCAAACAAAGCTGCTCATTTCCATGGAAGTGGTTAACACCTCTCCCACACTATCTTGCACCACCCACCCACTAGAGGTGCAAAGGAACATGTGGAGTAACAATAATTTGTTCAGATCGTAACTGTTAGCTGTAAATGAATTACATTTTCAAAGACTGGAATTTCTGAAAGTGATAACTTACATCGGAAATGTGAAGAAAAGTAGCTCTGAAATGAGGACTAGAAATACAAAGCTCTCCTAATTCACAGTAACTATTCTGTGCAGTCTACGCTGTACTCAGCTAGGAGTGCGGGGCCAGAGAGAGAAGTCCAGTGCTTTGGGCAACTCTTAACCGACTGGGCATGTTTCTCCTCTGTAAATTGAGGTGGTGGTACCAATGAGTTTTAAGATCCCCTTGGTTTAAAATTCTATTACTTCTCCCACTTTTCTTTTTGAAAGTAGCCAGGAAATTTCTTGTCAACCCGTGTGCATGTTGACAACACAGGAATACAAGGGTCCTGAGCCAAAGTAATCATCCACCCACAGATCAATCCTAAGTATACTCCTGTTATGTTCAAAGTCCTTGACACGCTTCTAATCAAGCAGAGGTACAGGGAAAGAGGGAGCTGGGGAAAAACCACAACAATGCCTTATTATTAGACAAAGGCACAGGCTGTTAAGTATGCACACAAAACCAGCTGGACTGTAAGTAGAGACAGCAAACTAGCAGCCCATGTCCAAGTGCATTAAACACATCCAGCACCCACATATATATATGTGCAAACACATTTAAACCAGAATGGAATACCTGTGAGGATGAATGCTCTTAGCCAGCGTATGGCTTATCCAAAGTAGGACATAAATTCTGACCATTCTAACATGAACAAACATTTATAGAAATGAATTACACTAGGAAATAGCTAGTTTTATTCTCTATAGGGGAACAAGTTCAAATTTGTCCAAAGTTCAAATTTTCCCTTTCAAAACTTGAAAAGCCTTGAAAACATTTCAAAACGTATGAACTTCATTAAGCAATAGTAATTAAAATCAGAAATAGGAATTAATCTTTAGTAAACCAGGATAGTAAAATAAATCAGACTGGCTCCATTTCTAGACCTCCGATCAGAAATAAGCTTAAAATATTAGCGTGGACTATTTTCCAGAATTTACAAAAAGTTAAGAATCAGGACCCGATACAGAAACTTCTGTGAGATATTTTGTGGAAGGGAAACCAACCAACCAACCCATGCACTTCAGCAATATTAAAAAACAAACAAACAAACAAAATAACTTTCCAGGGATAATGAATACAAGACGATTTAATTGAGGGAGTAATAATTCTTGATTTACAGGTATGTCTTGATTTTAGACATGTCTTAATCCTCTGTTACCTTAACAAATAATGCAGTTCACTACTGGTTAGAACCTGCAAAGCCAGAGAGAAGAACCATATTAATTTTGGCAACGCTTCTGGAAAATAACTGGGTGAAATCTGTAGTGTTTAATCATGGATAATACCCCCAATCATGTGGAGGTTGCAAAATATATGTTTAACCCAATCAAAGAGAAACAATGCTGATCACTGCGCTGCGGGTCCCTCCTTCCCTCTCCCTCCCCCTCTCCCTCTCCCCCCATTCTCTCTGGCTTTAGAAAAGTAAAGCTGGCAGGGACAAATGGCTTCACGTTGCTGGATAGCAGGAAAAGGACACAATGACTCTTGCAGCCATCTAAGTGAGGAAGGGACTGTGAGAGCACTGAAAAGGGAGATAGCAAAAAGAGCTGGATGAGCTCATGCCTACAGACCCAGACGCAGACACCACTACCATGCAAATGCTTAGAGCTCCATCAACAGATCCTTACGTGCTCTGAAAAGAACCTCTTTGAGAAGGAGGCTACAATCTTCCGGGCCTCTAACCCAGCTTTCTGCCGAACTTTATACTCCTCCAACCAATTGACGTAGTCGGTGGGGCTGTAGTGTTTCATAAGGGAAGGCCACCTACAAGGAGAGAAACACCCCCTCAGCTTAAGAGAGCCTCAAACGCAGACAAACACGAATCAAAGGCAGCCTTGGAAAACAGGGAAAGCGGCTGGGTTTAGGGGTCAGAGGGGCCCTGGCGATGGACCTAGTTCAAATCTCCACCCGGCACGCGCGCACTCGCTTACGGCGTGACCTTGGCGTAGCAGTATGAATGCTGTGTTTCCACTCCCCACGTACAAAATGCGGACAGTGGGAGCAACAACAACCATAGTGACGACAATCACAGTTAACATTAATCGCGCGCCTCCGAAGAGCCGGGCCCTGTGTAAGTGCTCCCTATCCATCAGCTCATCTAATCACCACAGTAAAAGGTAGGTCTAATCAACACCGTTTAAAGTCGATGAACGAGGCTCAAAAAAGGGAAGTCGGTACCCCCAAGGTCGCACGGCGAGTACGCCAGGGCCAGATTTTATCCCGGGTCCCACACCGAAATCTGTGCTCTCGGCCAACAGCCAGGGGATGATGCGCCCGCTTCCTCAAAGGGCCGTAAGCAGCACTGCATCACCCGGTCCGTGTAAACATTCTAGCACAGAGTCGGGCACAAAAGAAGCGCGCATGATGGATTAGCCGTGATACCACGGTCGTCATCCTTTCTGGAGGGGCCGGCTGCTGGGCGCTTCCCAATGCGCAATCTGGACACCGGCGGGTCCGCTTGGCGTGGAACGAGGGGCCGGCGGCCTGGAGGCCTTTGTCTGTCTGTCCGCGGGAAGGGGTCCGGGGGTGGGATGCGGGGGTGGGGTCCGCGCGCGGGCAGGGAGGTGGCGGCTCCGGGCGGCCAGGCCCGGGCCCCGGGGGGCGCAGAGAGGGGGCGCGGGAGGCATGGGCGGCGGGCTCACCTCACCCGGAACTGCTCCTTCCACACCTTCCCGCTACTCTGGCACAGCTCGCGCAGCCGCCGGCAGGTGCTGGAGACGCGGCCGATGTCGGCGGCCGTCAGCGAGCCGCTGCACAGGATGTACTCCAGCACCTCGCCGGGCAGGTTGACGAGGCAGCTGAGGCCCGCTGCCTCAGGCGCGGCCTCCTCCGCCAGCGCCGGCACCACTTCCATCGCGCTGTCGACCGCTGCCGCCGCCATCTTGTCCGCGTACCTGGGGCCGCCGCACGCGCGCGCGCGCGCCAGGGCGCCCCACTTCGCCCCGCCCACCCGCCTTGAGGGGTGGGCGCCAGGGTCGCCCCACCCACGCCCTGGCCACACCCCCTCGGCCCCAGCTGCTCTCGAAGGGCTGAGCTGTGGCCAAGGAAAGGAAATGGGTTTTGGAAAATAACAGCGCGGTGGGGCCTGGAAGCTGTGAATGGACAATAATAGTGGCATCCATGTTTATTATGTGTGCGGAGCGTTTCCTGTCAATGTGCTCGTCGGCCCTTACCAACAACCCTATGAACTGTTCTTCTCCCCAAGTTACAGGTGGGGAAACTGAGGTTCAGGGAGATAGATGGACTTGTTGGGAGTCCCTTGTCCTAGATTCTAATCCAGATCCGCTTGACTCTGCTTGACTGTATGCTAAACAGTATGCTGTAATAATAACAAACTTAATATTCATGAGCGGGTGCCCTGCCAAGCACTCTAAATCCGTTCTTCAAGGACGCCTCATTTGAGCCCTCTGCCATAGGTACCACATTTTATATACGTTCTACAGATAAGGAAAACCTGGCTCATAAAGGTGGGAGTCACTAGTTGAAAGTCACAGAGACAAAAAGTGGTCGAACCTGGATTTGAATCCTCCAAACAGGAGTTCCCATTCACCTGTGGGTGGGCACTCTCTTACTTCCGTGCCTGCACCTATTTATTTATTTTTCCAACTCAGTTTAGTTTCGTGACAGGCCCTGGGCTGTGTGCCTTGGGGATACAGAGGTGAATAAGACAGTGTCCTTGCCTCCCAGGAGCTCAAAGTCCTCCCCAGCCTCTCTCCCATCCCCACCCCCTGTAATTTACCTTGTCCCCTCCCAAAGATTCCTGCCTTGGAAAGGGCCAACCATCCCTCCCTTCCTGCAAAACTGGAAACTGCTGCCATCCTTGCGACCTCTCTTTTCCTCACCCTCTGTATCCCAATGCCCCATAGAGGATAACATATCCAAGCCTCCATTTCCACATCTATAAAATGGGGATAACAATAGATCTTCCTATTTAATGAAACAATACATATACATCAGTTCCTGTTGCTGCATAAGAAATAAACCCAAAGCCTAGGAGCTGAAAACAACCTTGTTTTTGTGCTCTTGATTTTGTAGGTCGGGAAATGGGGAAGGGCTCAGCCCGGCAACTCTGAATTGGAATCAGGTGGTAGCTCCAGATTCTCTGCTTTCAAGCACTGCATGCTTTCAAGATCCCACAGGGCCTGGAAAAAGTGTTGAGATCTTAAAGTGTGCTAGGAAACACTACCTGTATTCAAATGCCCAACAGAGGTTAAGTTCTCTGTGCCTCAGTTTCTTCAGAGAAACTTTTTTGTGGGAACAGGAAAGCAATTCTCTTCTCTAAAAGATCACTCCTAATATTTCTCAAATCTATCTCCTTCTCTGTCTCCTCAGCCACTGTCCCAGTCCATGTCTCCAGGGTGGCTCTTAACAGTTCAGGCCTGGCCCTGAGAATGTGAATATCAGCCTTGGTGACACGCAGACCTCGGTAAGGTTTGCAGCCCGTTAAGTGGAAGGCAGACCCCCACAGCTGCACAGGTGGTTGGTAAGACGTTCTTGTGAACGATTATGGATTTCTTTTCAATGACAAATTAAAATTAAACTCTCCTGCCGATCCAGAAAATCCTCTCCAAACCCTGGGAAAGGAGAACAGTTTTATTGTTGAACAAGCATTAAACTAGATGGTGATGCACATCGCAGGTAACCTGCTAATGAGATTACAAAGACAGAAAGAAATCCCACCCTTTTGTATACAGCCAAACATTTCATCGTGTACATGCTTCTGAGATTAATGGTGGCTTGTAAATTACCATTCACTTAAAAAATAAGAGGACCTGATCACACTTTCCCTAGTTTATTCTTTCCAAGTTCATCCTAAGGTCACCTGGCAAATGGGGTACACATTGTACTACCTGCCTTTGTCTCAAGGAATAATAAAATTGCTCATCTTTGTGATAAGCTGGTGGTTACAGCCTGAAATGGAGTGCTTAGACTCCCACATCGCAGGGAGAAAAGGACACTACCTTCCTTGATATTTACATTTCAAAGAGATGGTTCCCAGGCCCTTAAGAGAAACATTTCTGGGCTGTGACATTGGCAAGAGGCTTATTTAGCCTTTGAAAAGATTTGCAAAATGTATGGTAGACATACAGTGGAGTAGTATTCAGCCATAAAAAGGAGTGAAGCACTGACACGTGCTACAACATGGATGAACCTTGAGAACATGATGCTAAGTACAAGAAGCCTCACACAAAAGGGCAAATATTGTATGATCCCACTTCTATGAAACATCTAGAATAGGCAAATTCATAGAGACAGAATGTAGATTCGAGGTTTACCAGGGGCTGGGAGGGAGGAGGGAATGGGGGGTTATTGCTGAATGGGTACAGAGTTTCTGTTTAGGGTGATGAAAAAGTTCTGGAAAGAGATAGTGGTGACAGTTACAGAAGAGGAATGCCCTTAATGCCATTGAATTGTATACTTAAAAATATTTAAATCGTAAATTTCCTGTTATGTATAGTTTACCATAGTAAAAAAATAAAAATAGCATCCACAGAAAAGATTTACATCTGTATCAAAGAGACAGAGGAAAGATTTACACATACAGAATTTGTCAAGGAAATACTCTAAGAAAGGAAGGAGGGAATGTGTCTCTTTCCATTTTGGCAACAGGGAGAATTCTAAGTTTTTAATGTACCCTTTCGCTGAACTGCTGACCGTATTTAACAGAGTTCGTCCCCGCTACCTGAGTTCCTGTTTAAAATCCCCTAGCAAAAGCCCAAATCCTTGACTCCCCAGAGTTCCTCCTGGGTGCCCTCTCCCTGCTGTAGCAAAAGAATAACCCTATCTTTGTGGACCATCGGTGTATTTCTGGTTATCTTTGGCTGAAGGACTTCGACGTTCCTCTCCCACGAGATCGCCACAGTCCAACTAGAGAGACCATTTCAATCCCCCTCAACATCTTCTATGGCTTTCCTTGTTCTCGAAATAAACAAACACATCCTTTCTCTTCTGATACAGCCCCTAGACTCTCCCTCCCACCTGCTAATCCAGGGCCACTTTCCTGGAGTGTCTGCAGCTCCTACTCATCCTTTAGGTCTAACTCAAGCTCTTGCCTGCAGAAACACACGTCTGCTGACCACAGACTAAGTCTGCTTCTGTCTCTACCCTTGCAGAACCCCTTTTATTCATTCAGTACACACTCCCAAACTGTCATAATACACACCTTGGTGTGATTATCAGATTCACCCACCAGCACGGGCTGATTTTCCGGGGTGTGGACAAAGAATGTTGCCTCCCATTTCAGTAAACAAAGAATGCTGCAGCCATCAAGCCATCAGCTGCCCCAATGGTGCACCCTGAGGGGGATTCAGGATGGAGAAAAACAGGGTACTGGCCCTACATAGTTAAGATGCCTATCAAAGGAATGATTTTAATAAGCCCAGACTCTTGCATATTTTCATATATAGAAAAGCACTAAAATCATTAACTGGAGATGTCTGTTTTTTTGTGATTAGCAGTAATCTTTTGATGTTCGACTCACATGTTTTGTTTTTGTTTTTTCAGCAAAAACTCCTGTATATCCTGGTTCCTCCCTTTCCACTTTGGGACAGTTCCCCAGAGCTATCTGAGAGGCTGCCTTCCCAGGCCAGAGTCCTCAGTAAGGTCCCCGAATAAAACATGACTTGAAACTTTTAGGTTGTGCTTCTTTTTGCTGTCAGTAGGGGCCTGAAGCTTTACTGTTTGGAGGCCCTGTTTTATTTTATTTTTTTTTTGGCCATGCCCTGCAGCTTGCGGGGAACCGGGGATCAAATCTGGGCCCTCGGCAGTGAAAACTTGGAGTCCTAACAATTGGACCACCAGGGAATTCCCTGGAGGCCCTGTTTTAGAAAAGGAACACAAAGGATGAACTTGTAAGTCTACAGGAGGGCATTTATGTAGAATGAGGAAAGAAGGCGCCTTGGATGTTGGACCCAAAGTTTATCATTAATTCGATGATAAACACATTTCTTCCTATAAAAGCTAACCTCCGTAAAAGCAGGGCCTCTGTCCCATTTTGCTCAAATATTTACTGAAGGTACTGCTAGGGTGTATGAGAAGGTTTTGTGCTATCGTACAGACACAGCTCTGCCCGGTCACCCCTGGATGTGTGTGGCTTTTCCCCTCACCCACCCAAGTCTCCTCAGTCACCTAATTGAGGAAGCCCTGCCTGGCCACCTCATTTAAAACCCTCTGTCACTCTGCCCTGCTTTGTTTCTCTCTAAAATTTCTTATCACCATCTAACATACTCTTCAAGAAAACCACTTATGTCTCTCTCCTTCCAGTAGAATGTGAACTCTACTGGTTGTTCTCCAATGTCTACAAAAGAGCTTGACACATACTAGGTCCTCCTTATATTTCTAATGAATGAGTGAATTAATCCTATGAGTGCAGAGCAATTGAGCTGGATGTATTTTGCATGCGGGGTGGAAGTGAATCTTTGAGGGCCAGAGAGTAGCCTATGGTAGGCTGAATAATGGCTCCCACAGACGTTCACATTCTAATCGCAAGAACCTGTGAACAGGTTACTACGATGTGCGGGTTTTTTTCCCCCGACGTTGCCAAGCGATTCTCCGACACCAGCTGGGTGTCCTACAATTCAACTCAGTGCTGACACCATCTACCTGATACTCTCGACCAGGAGACAGATCCCACAGGTTAAGTGTTCAGTCCTGCCAGACTGCTCCCCCCCGGCCCCGCCCATATCAGAAGCCACATTGCAAGTCCATATTGTCACCTGTGCTTCTGCCAGTCTGGCTACAGGTCGGAGCTCCCCATGACGCCCCTCCTTGTGTTTGATTAACTTGCTAGAGTGGCTCACGGAACTCAGAGAAATGTTTTGCTTACTAGATTCACCAGTTTACTATAAAAGGTATAACTCAGGAACAGCTGGATGGAAGAGGTGCACAGGGCAAGGTATGGGGAAAGGGCG